TTCTTCTACCGAATATTCGAGAAATCTTATTAAAGAAAAAGATGTGCTCTCAGATTTTCCTCTAATAAGAACATTCAGGCTGGTAGATGAAAATAAATAAATATACTGTTTAATAAATAAACGGGACGTCTACTCAAATATCTGTGTTTAAAGACATTATTCATCTTTGCTTGGCCATCGACGCACTCTGTAGCCGAGAGGTGAAAGGACGTCAGACCTAATGAAAGTTTTACCCAGAGAAACACAATTTCGAATCCTGCTGAAGAGCACTTATTTTTTTAAAATAAGATTTATTAGATATTCAGACTGGTAGATGAAAATAAATAAATATACTGTTTAATAAATAAATGGGGCGTCTACTCAAAAACGGGTATCCATTAGAAATAACATTTAAGTGATAAAAATCTACCGGATTAATAAAAGAAATCTACCCCTTTCTTTAGAAATTACATATGTATATGCCTAATACATATATATCCCTTATATGTGTATGTTTGTACGTGTCTGTGTGCGCGCGTGCCTCATATGTTCCAAATTAACAACCCATATATTTCACTAATCATATTGAAACAAATAGCAAAAATAAATAATTAAATAAATAACGTTTAGAGTTTGGCTAATTGTACAAAATTAAAAAAAAAAACATTTATTGGAAGACGAAAATACCAACAGATTCCCAATAAAACCATCAGCACTATCAAAATAAATCGAAAATAGTAATAAAACAACAAAAAATAAATAGGCAGCAATTAAACAAAGTTATAATACATGCGTACAGACACATTATATATATATATATATATATATATATATATATATATATATATATATATATATATATATAAAAATATTTTTTAAAAATGCTCGTCGTCAAAACTGCGCTGAGAAGCACACACGAAATATAACGGCGAATGGATTGTTCATTTTTTGTCTGAGCGTTCTTTCATAAACCACACTGCTTCCATGAATTTTGTTACTTCCGAATTTTTCCGGCCAAAAACAGTCTTCGGTCCGACCGGTCTTGCTCAAGCTGGAAATAAATTACAAAAGTATTTATTAGATCAGGGCTGCTCAAACATTTTGCCTGCCACTCCCATATATCTTTACCCGAACTGACCCCCCGCCCCCCAAAAAAAGCAGGATGTAACACACGCTCGTCTTTAAGTGGGGGGAACTATATAAATACGTATGCATATGGGTCAATGACAATTTTATCTTTGTCCAGTAAACCGCGACTAATGTCTAGCAACGACATTACATCGACCGTACCTCTCTTACTTCAAAGGGGAAGGTGCTGCTGCACGGTTGGAATCCCCGGGGTTGAGCAAGTTTCTCCCATCTAAAGTAAGGAGGACCGTTTATTCCACAATGCACAAAAGCTAACTCCTGTGCCGGGTAAGTCCTAAGTCATACCAGATCATTTTAAACGACACCTTCCATTTTTTTTTTATATTTTAAACTGATAAATAAATAAAAATGTTTTGATTTTTGCTTACCCCAAAAATGACAAAGAAGAAAACAGATAATCAAGTAAACACTTTATATTTTTTAAAATGATGTTCACCCTCTACAAGGCCTGAGAGCCACTCGAACTAGTGGGTTACAGTGTAGAGGCAGAGCTTATGTGTGGAAGATAACAGTTAACCCTAGACTTAAACAGGTTAAGAGTGTAGTGATTAGGGTAGCATTCTCTTGGGTGTGGCTTCCATAAGGCAGCTGTTAGGGGAAATAAGCTGTCCGAGTGGAACTTACATCTCACCAAAGGAATACGAAAGGAATGAAGGTGGTTCACTACACTGGGGTGGCCATGAAGGTTAGAACTGGTGGAACTAAGGAATGTACTTTACCTGAACATTTGCCATGGAAATAGCGATAGATCAGCGAGAGGCTTGCGACGTTTCGTCTGTGAGGAAAGGGGTTGTAGGGTGGAAAGTAATTCGTCATCCATAAGGACGGGGAGACATTTTTGGATTCTATCGAGACTGAAAAGTGAAGACTGTGCAGCTCCTGATCGTATACAGCAGTAATATTCCATTTTAGGCCGGATTTCGGCTTCTTGTAAAGCTAGTAGAATCTCACGTGGAGTCAGGTACTTACTGGAGCGGTACAGGGAACTGACCATTTTTCCAGCATCTTCAGCAATGGTTCTTATGTACGAGTTCCACTTGACTCCAGGGAGTGAGTTTAAGTCCAAATAGGCCATCAAGGCCTCCCCTAGGGAACATCCGTTCATCACGATTTTTGAAAGTCCCGGGTACGATTGGCGATGATTGTCTTTGAGGCACTGAATGGAGCCAGCCAGTTGTTTTCCCCCGACTGAGCTGTTAAAGCTAGATCAGAGGAAAGATCAGCTGCCAATCTCTGGTCATCTAGGGTTTTGGAGGTGCATCCATATACCGTTGAATCATCAGCATAGATATTCACAAATGATTGGGGTATACTCTTGGGCAGATCATTTATGTAAAGTACAAACAAGGTTGAACCGAGAAGCGAACTTGGG